TTTGTGACCCAACACAATTCCTTCTTCTACCATAAAATGGCATTTCTCCCAATTGAGAACCAAATTTCTGTCTTCGCATCGGGCCAACACACGATCCAAGTTTAGCAAGCATTCAACAAATGAGTCCCCAACCACACTAAAATCATCCATGAAGACCTCCAATATGTCCTCCACCATGTCGGTGAAGATTGCCATCATACATCGTTGGAAGGTCGCCCGTGCATTACATAATCCAAATGGCATTCGAGAGAAGGCGAATGTGCCATAAGGACATGTGAAGGTTGTCTTTTCTTGGTCTTCCGGGGCAATGAGAATTTGGTTATAGCCTGAATACGCATCTAGAAAACAATAGAAAGCCCAGCCCGCAAGACGATCAAACATTTGGTCCAAGAACGGCAGTGGGAAATGATTCTTTTTAGTCACCTTGTTCAACTTCCGGTAGTCCATGCATACCCTCCAACCCATCACAGTACGAGTAGGAATAAGTTCATTGTTGTCATTGGTCACCACCGTCATTCCTCCTTTCTTTGGCAAACATTGTACCGGAGAAGTCCACGAACTGTCAGAATTTGGATACACCACACCGGCGTCAAGCTACTTGATGACTTCCTTTTTGACCACCTCTTGCATGGCCTCATTGAGTCTCCTTTGATGTTCAAGGGACGGCCTAGCGTCCTCCAATATTATCTTGTGCATGAAAAACACGGGGCTAATACCCCAAATATCCGCCAAGGTCCATCCAATTGCCCGCTTGCGCTTTTGAAGAACCGCCAAAGTGGCGTCAACCTGCACGTTAGTCAAGCAAGAAGAAAGAATAACCGGCAAAGTGAAATTAGGACCAAGAAATTCATACCTGAGGTGAGGAGGAAGTGGTTTCAACTCCAACACCGGTGGCTCCTCAATAGATGGCTTGGTGGGTGGAGTTTTGCGATTTTCAAGATCAAGAGATAACTTCCTCGGTTCATAAGAATACGAGCCCATGCCATGTAATGCGTTCACACACTCCACCCTTCTAGCAT